AAAAATACGTTGGCTCCATCCAAACGATAGGCTTGTATTGACTCTCTCAGCTTTTGATGGCCAACCCAGAACTTGGAGGATTATTGAACGGAGTCCTGGGACACACCACACACACACCTCCCCCACCCCCGCACAGGGAACTCTTTTAGGGTTTGTGGGGGTTGATGTGCAGTGAGGCCCAGCTCCAGAAGTTGTCCTAAGCCAGTGCCACAGCCCCCCAGTAACTGTCCTAGGGCTCGCAGTGCGCATCCACAAGCTATGTGAGGCCAACTTTTCTGCTGCAGATTTAAGATCCCCCCCCCCCCGCCCCGATTCTCTGCCCTGGGCATCCTCTACCATCAATTCCTACAGGCGAGACCTCCTCATACAGTGGCCTAAACAGCAGGTAGCTAGGTGAAGTGGTGTGGAAAGCTGACAGCTGATCCCAGCATAGAGTCTGCACATGTGACGCTCCCACCCATTTTGGACCATGAGGTAGAAGATGAGTTTGATGGAACAACAGCACAGGGGAGACAGTTCTCTGGTGACCTTGGAGCTGCCACACTTACCCTAAGCTACCTGCCTCCAAGTGAGGAATCCCTTTTCAACCTCTTGAAGTCACTAATATTTGTGGTGGTGTTGGTATGTGCAGTCAAACCGAATCGGACTTTTCTGTCTTGGTTGATGTATCAGTAAACAGGAGACACATGGTACTGGGAGGGTGATGAATTACAATGATGAATGAAGGACAAATTGGGAATAAATTTGGAGAGACAAAGGGCTATGGAATGGAGGTGAATGAGCAGCAGAGTGGAGTGGATGTGAGTAGCATGGGGCATAGTGAGGAAGTAACTATGTATTAGACTGTGCCCTAATCTAAAATTATGGCTGAGACTGAGTAAATGATGGGAAAATGAGACACAGTTTGTGACAAAGAGTTCAAATGGGAGCAGACCGTGAGTGAATGGGGTAATGAAAGGTAGTAAAAGTGAATGGAGTTGATAATGCATTAGAGTTTATATGAATACAAAGAATTACAGTGTGAGTGAATGATGATTTATGAGGCACAGTATGAGTAAAGAGAAGTGAATTTGGGGGGAGGTAGGAGTGAATGGAGGCAATGTGGGGCATAGAGGGAAGAATGGGGTGCACAAGGGGCAGAATAAGATGAATCCATGGTAGGATGTGAACACATGAACCAGGTTGATTTTTAAAAAATATATTTTATTGATTTTTTACAGAGAGGAAGGGAGAGGGATAGAGAGTTAGAAACATCGATGAGAGAGAAACATTGATCAGCTGCCTCCTGCACACCCCCCCCCCCGGGGATGTGCCCGCAACCAAGGTACATGCCCTTGACCGGAATCGAACCTGGGACCCTTCAGTCCCCAGGCCGATGCCCTATCCACTGAGCCAAACTGGTTAGGGCAACCAGGTTGATTTTGAGTGGGGAAGGAGAGTGACGAAAAGTGAATGAGAGGCAGGCTGGGATTAGATAGTGGCAATGCAGGGCAGTTTTCCAGGGATGTCCAGGGATCCCAGTGTGAATCAACCCAGATGGATGAGATGAAGTGTGTGCATAAATGGAGATAATGTTGAGCAGGGTGAGAGGAGATGTAAGTAAAGGTCAGAAGAAGGTGAGTAACTGGGTGTTGTGAAGCAAAGGAAGAGGGAATGAAGGTCATTCACATGGCCCAAAGTGAGTAAGGTGGGGAAAATTGGGCCCAATGTAGACAAAAAGTGGTGAATTTGAGGCAGAATGTGACTGAATTGGGGGTACTGTAGGGCAGAGTAGGAGCAACTGCACTTGAATCAGGAGTAAATGGGAGTGATGGGTTGAAATAGGGGTTACACTGGGAGTGAATTTGTATGAATGAGATAATGAAAGGCTGAGTGAGAGTAACTGGAGGCAATGAAGAGAAAATTGAGAAAGAATGGAGGTGATCAAGCATAGAGTAATTATACCTAGGGAACTTGCGCTAGTGTTTAGGAGTAATATGGGGCACAGGTCCACGAAATAGGGATAACTAATATATGGGGATAGCATTAGAGAGAACAGAGGTGAAGATGGGGCAGAGAGAGAATAAGGGAGAAAATGAGGTCCAGAGTCAATGAACAAAATTGAAGGATGGGCCATGTGAGAGAGAATGGGAGTTGTCTGATACAGGGTCAGGAAGTGGAGGTAAAAGTAGGAAAGAGTGAATGGAGGTGAAGAAGGAATGTGATGTGATAGAATTTGGTTAATGATAAGTAGAGGGTTAGGGAATTGCAGTAATATGAGGCCCAGTCTACCCTAGCTGGTTTTGCTCAGTGGATAGAGGGTCGGCTGGCAGACTGAAGGGTCCAGGGTTCAATTTCGGTCAAGGGCACGTACCTCGGTTGCAAGCTAAATTCCTAGCCCTGGTTGGAGCGTGTGCAGGAGGCAACCAAACGGTGTGTCTCTCTCACATCAATGTTTCTCTCTATCTCTCCCTATCCCTTCCACTCTCTAAAAAATCAATGGGAAAATATCCTCAGGTGAGGATATAACCAAAAATAAAAATAAAAAATGAGGCCCAGTGTGAATGAATGAATGGATGAGAGGCAGTGTAAGTGAATGGGGAATAAAAGGTAGAATGAGAATGGAGGTGAAAAAGCAGTAGTGTGTATACATGTAATATGTAACATAAAATAAATATGTAACATGGGGCAGAGTGTGATCAAATGGGAGTAACATGGGGGCATATTCCAGTAAATTAGGGTGGAACAGGTGCTGAGAATGAGTAAATGGAAGTAATGGGGGCAGAGGGTGAGGGTGTGGTGGTCATATTTGCAACAATCATGAATTTGAGGTGTAGTAGGCACAGTGGTAGTTAATAAGAGCTGACTACTTAGCA